GCATGCATTGAATGTGACCCAATTCGAGGACATTTGATTTATGTATCCCTGTATATATATATATATATCTATATGTAGAAATGTACATGTCTCACAACGTTCGGAACTTGGTATTATTGTATCCTGTCTTTCTTTCTTGTACTTGAATGCATGTAGTTACTCGTGTGTGTGTGTGTGTATGTGTATGTATGTTTAACATACAGACAAGAATCATTTTTTTTTAAATAATACAGACAATAGACATATAGATATTATACATAATTACAGATATAATGCATTATCATGTGTATGTGTTTTTATCAGTTAATCAACAACACGCCATATTTCATTGAGCTTCCTTCACACGGATGAATAATGATGTTGTTTTCCCGTAAGAACATTCTAAACTAATTTGGAGGATACTTTTTTTTTTCTTTCAAAAACATGAGTGATTTATTCACAGTACGACTAAAGGTAGAAAAAAAAAAGAGAAACTAGTGTAGAATTTTTTCTATCTAGAAAAAACAAAAAAGCTTTTGAATGTAAAATAAAGAAAAGTTGAAAAGGGTGAAGTATAAGAAAGAAAGAAAGTAAAGAAAGAAAGAAAAGAAGAGAAAAAAATAACAAACATTAATAAATAAATAGACATCAGTAACAATTATTATTGTAAATGAACTTCAAAATATTAAATTGTGTATATGTTAACCGATCTGAAAAATGTTTAGTGTAGAAATAACAACAACAAAAAAAGCGGCTATTTAATGTATATTTAAATGTGTAAAACTCATTTTATGATTGGATTTTATTCCGCTTTAAATGAATGTTAAATATTCTCGTTAGAAATTTCATGATTTATGTCCTAAAACTAGTTCATAAGTGAAACCATGGTGAATTTCTTTAAGATATATATGTATATTGATGATAAATTTACTTGGACAATATATTACTAGATTAGTTGGATGGAATGAAATGAACTTGTCCTAAATCTAGGTCAGTTGTGCTAAAACGTTTTTTTTTATAAATTAGCTGAACAATAAATTTGAGCCTATAAACTAATGGTACACAGACAGATACTTTTTGAATAGAATGAAACTTACACTTAATTGTTTCAATATAAAAGTCCCTGGAAAGAAAATGTTTAACAGTATATCAAAGATGTTAAAAATTTACTTATTTATGTAAGTGTCTAGTGAAGAAGGTTCAACAAAAGCTCTGTACAATTAGGAACGATTACAATGACAATAATTCATCACTGAGAGACGATAGATATTATGACTTTCAAAGAAGAATCAACAGAACTGTGTATATGAAAACTAACTTACTGACTGTAGTATTGTATATGTAAACGACAGAGTTATGAATAAGGTGAAAAATATAAACAATGCTTATTAGATATTTTTGAATCCTCAGAAAATTTTGAAATGGATACGAACGAGAACTATGTATATAACTTGGTTTTGAGCGTTACTTTTACCGTTCTACCTATTTGCATACTGCATTTCAGTTAACTGTACTAATATTTGGTTTTATATAGTACTTATTCTTTTTCATATTATCATAATGTGATGAAGTTCTTTTACGGGTCCACAATAATGCATATAATTGTCATTTTAGCAAACTACTTGATATAAAATTATTATGAATTTCAAGAATTTTTCAGAAATTTATCATTTATTCTTTATTGAATTTATTTATTTATTTGAACACATAAATATTGGTACAAGAATGCGCCAAACGAAACAATGAGAATTTAAGGGGAAGGAAAAAAAGAGAGAATAATAACGAAGAGATTGATGTAAGGTGGTGTAATAATAATAATGGTAAAAATGGGGGAACGGAAAGGTACAATCAGAAGAAATCTTTCAGTTAAGGAAGATACAACTACTTTTTATGAAGAAAGTAAAAGCACATTACAGCAGGATCGTCACTGGCTTCTATTCTGAGCCATATCTGATAGCGTCTCCAACCACTGTGTAGCACCATCTCTCGGACCCCAACCAGGGAGTCGTGAACAACCAACAAAAGCCAGCCCTTGACAGCTTTCTTTCATACCACGACACCATGTCATATACTGACCACCTCTCCGCTTTTTCCAACCAGTCCCAGAGTCGGCAAATAATACACGAAGTGTAATTCTCTGGGACGACATTCGTAGAACATGTCCAAGCCACCGAAGTCGGTGTTTCAAGATGGTGACACCAATTGCATTATCGTCTCTGTGCCCGAACACACGGTGCCGAACCTCTGCATTATTAACATGATGTTGCCACTGGATGTCAGCAATCCTTCGGAGACAGCGATGATCGAACACTGAAAGTCGTCTAACGTCCTCAACTCGGAGAGGCAAGGTTTCACAAGGATAGAGCAGAACTTCTCTCACCGACGCGTTGTAGATTCGACCTTTTACAGCCAGACTTACATCACGAAGGCGCCAAAGACGGCCTAGATTGGCATAAGCCGCTCTGGCTTTCACGAGCATTGATCTCATCACTCACACCTCCACCAGCACTTATGTAGCTACCCAGATACAAGAACTTCTCGACTAATTCTACCTGCTGTTTATTAAATAGCAAACATCGTTAATACATAAACGTTCCAACTACGAATTATACATGAACATATGTATATTTACCTAGTTAATCTCCGATTTCAATAGTTGTGTATTGTTCAAGTTCCTAAAAAAACAAACTAGAATGTAACAACTGTCAAAGATTTTGCAAATGATGTTATTCAACGGTAAGAACTATTCTTCATAACTGATTGGTCATTGACAAATGATCAATCCCATTTGTCTAGTCAGATGAATCGATGGAGTTAGATCAGTACTAAGCGACTAGCCAAACACAACATTATTCGTTATTCAGTGATCAATCAATTGTAAATATCCCAGTCAGTACGAATATCTCAATGGTAAATTTTCAGACTATGAAGCTGGTAAAACAACTCTGAATCCATTAGGCCGCACTAGTCCCATTAGGATTACAAATGGACCCTGCTAACGAGTGCTGAATAGAAAGAAACCTACGTCCAGGATGTTCTACTGTTCACATTCAGCCACCTACTATTAATTTTCATGGTTTATAAGTTCATGTAGAAATGAGACCACTGAAAAAGAAAACTATTGTTTGGACATTTCACGAAACAAACATTTTAATTTTAATATTCCAAAAAAGTTGGATTTTAAGACCGGATACAAGTGATTGGATCATTTGATGAAACCAATTGATAAACTATAAAATTTAATTCAGTAAAGTTAGTGATTTTTTGAGAATTATAATACACGGTGGTTATACACATAAGGGAATATATTTTTCATACCTTGTAGTTGGACTTACTACGATAATAGCGTGTGAAAATTTCTCATCTAAAGAGTTAACTATCTTTTAAATACAATAGTTGAACTCGCTCTAACTTCATGAGAAAGCAAATCCATTATGACAGTTTAATGTTCAACTCTTCTTCTTCAACACAGATTACACGAATTATTTTAGCCCGTCAGATAAAATGCCCATTTTATATTTGAGATGATAAATTTATGCATATTAATGATCACAACCAATATTTATTGGAAAAATCAAAATCTACAACTTACATATTGTGTAATTTCACAAATCCAAAAACAATTACCGGTTGAATGAAGATACAAAATAATCCTAATTTGATTATCAAGTAATGAAGACGTTTACTAGGTTTTAGGAAATAAAACCTTATTCACATAAATAGTAACTTGTAGTTTTTTCAGATGATGTAAAAATTATAATTTGTTCACCATATGAACAATGCAAAAATATTATTACAATTTCTTTACCTACTTGTGAGTAGTTAAAATGTTTATAAAAAAATGTTCATTGACTTGGAGTTAGAAATCCGCTGTTTTGACGTATCTACCTTTATTCATTAGGTGTGGACACCAAAATAATTTGCTTTCAAGTGATCCGAATAAGAAATCTGTGATCTAGTCAGAGGATGGTTACTCAGTTACAAAGACTTTATTCAGCTAAACAACTAAACATACAAACATTTATGACTGTTATCCCTCATGGATGAACATAGGCCAACCACCAGCGTTCTATATCCAACTCTGTCCTAGGCAGTTCTTCCCAGTCGCTGGAGCCTCGTGATGTATTTTAGTGATTTCCGTAATGTGTTTCCTATCCAATCCCAACGTTTTTTTTCTAATTTCCACTTCATCTCGAAGCTGGTTTGTCTCGCGCACAGTAGGCTGTTGCTGATTGTATCCGGCCAACGGACATTCAGTACTTTGCGTAGACAATTGTTGAAACACACTTGTACCTTTTTTTGATGGTTGTAGTAGTTCACACTGTATTGATTGCTGATCGTATATAATTTGTGTCATCAGCTAAAACTACATGGTAGCAACTTATAGGAATGATTATTCTGAGATATTAATAACCTGTAGTTGAGAACTTTACACAAGATTGATTAAAAGCGACATCCCTAACAAATATTTCTCTATCCAGCAGCACGAAGTACATATGGATACGTTTACTGTTCATTTCATTACCGGATCTTCTGCTTAAATACTTATCATGATATTTCTGAAGTATGATAATTTCGTGTTATGGTTCTTTTTTCCAATATTCACTAATGATGAATCTGGTTACGGTAATAGCATTCTAAATTCCACATTTCCAAACTGCTCGCTCGTTCCTAATAAATTGTACGGTCATCTGTTAGTAACATAGATGCAGGGATAACGTGAGATGAATCTTATGAATTTCCTCAATGAATAACTGTCAGTATCAATGACCGCTATTTGCGTGAATTTCACTTATATGTCAAACATATGAAGTCTACAGTTAAAACTTAGATTCCTAATTAGAATTAGTACTGCTTTTAGTCATAATATTCCTTAAACGACCTTCTTTCTTAGTGAAACAATGGGTCACACGAGTGTTTTTAGACAATATAACTTGATTGAGTAGTCATCTTAAAGTTGTGAATTACTTTTAACTGCAACAAAATCGGTTAGATGATAGATCACTATACCTAAGAAGAAGAAACACATTTACGCTTCAACCTTCTTCTATTAAAACAATGATAAACAAGGAGAGAAAATAATAATTAGAAAAAACTATTGTTTTCGATTTCGTTTATTATTTTTCTCATACAAATGAACTAGCTATTGATAGAATTTTCGTTATATCCCCTGATAAACTTCGTAATCGCGCTGGTACTGGTACAAGTATTCGTGTACCTAGTGGATTGCCATCATTATCAATAAGCACAATATTGTTTGAGTCAAAACGTGGCCAACCATTAACAGATGGTAGTCGTGCACCAACAATCCAACCTTTTTTCATTTCTCCATTAACAGCAACCAATACTTTATCACCTGAAAAATATAATGTGAGAAAATTTAAGGGAATAGAATCGAACACCGTATATATATATATATATATATATATATATATATATATATATATATATATATATATATATATATCATTGTGTGAATTATATATATAACTGTAAAGTATAAAGAATCTAGATGTTAGCCTAGACAAAAGATGAATTGAATGATTGATCATCTAATGATTTATCTTAAATGATAACTAAATTTAATAAGATGAATATGATTTAGATACTTGTGGAATGATTTTTGAAAGCTTCAATTCTATATGAACTATTGGCATTAGTGAGAACGATGAAAATTTTATAATTTAAATCATTCAACAGTCAGATAACTAAAAGTATCAATGGAAATTTGAGTTACAAGTCTTACCTCATCATTTAAAAAGACGACATTCCATTAGCAAATACATAATGATGAAGTCGATTACAGTGATCAAGTGTTCCTAAGATGACGAAATTTCCGATTATTGATTATCAAATTATAAATAAACAGTTACTGCGCTATTTACCTTCAACCGTGTTGGTTTAAGAAATTAGTGTATCATTGTGTTGGCAAACGAAAAAATATTGAGATTATGCGGTAACAAATGAAAATTTTTTCTTATTCTTATAATAGTAAACAAAGTATTGATATATACATTAATTGTAAAATAAAAGCCATTTTGCATCATCAAATAATTTTTGAGATAATAATCATTATACAGAAATTCAGCAATTTCCCAAGCTGAAGTTATAAGCAGAAATGGATGATTGTGATATGATGGGAAGAAAAATCAATTTTCGATTGACTTACTTATTCTGAGTTTTGGTTCAACATTACTTCCCTTCCAATTCAATGTGATGATCATTCACTGTAGTAATTGTTTTCTTTTATCGTACGATATTTTATTCTGTATAATATACGATATTCTTGACATGAACTATACTCAGTATGTGATTTGTTATATATGTGATTTCATCCCAATTATTAATCGAAATGGGTTTAAAATCAATATATAAACCAGTGTATTTTAGACTATTTGAATCATCATCGTCGTCGTGTTTTGGGGTTAATAAATCATCACTTATACCAGTCTTTGTGTTCTTACTTTCGCATCGTGGGAATCGCCGAGGTCCCTCGTTCCGAGTATAAGTGATCAGCGCATTTTCCGGCAAAACAATTGCGACGACGCAATATAACAATTGATCCCATCCCCATCGCCAATTGTTATATTGCGTCGTCGCAATTGTTTTGCCGGAAAATGCGCTGATCACTTATACTCGGAACGAGGGACCTCGGCAATTCCCACGATGCGAAAGTAAGAACACAAAGACTGGTATAAGTGATGATTTATTAACCCCAAAACACGACGACGATGATGATTCAAATAGTCTAAAATACACTGGTTTATATATTGATTTTAAACCCATTTCTGATTAATAATCAGAATGAAATCAAATATATGAAAAATACTTAGAGTTATAACAAATCACATACTGAGCATAGTTCATGTCAATGAAATACAAGAATATCGTATATTATACAGAATAAAATATCGTACGACAAAAGAAAATAATTACTACAGTGAATGATCATCACATTGAATTAGAAGAGAAGTAATGTTGAACAAAACTCATAATAAGTAAATCAATCGAAAATTGATTTTTCTTCCCATCATATTAAATTGCTAGCAGTGAAATCGAGGACGCGTATTTCGTTCTATTTGGGACTCATCAGTTAGATGCACCTGGATCTCAAAGTTGGTGTTCACTCTGGACTCAGCAGCTAAGCGGGTAACGCGAAGGCGTCTGAAGCGAACAAACCTCAAATCAGACGAAACGCGCGTCATGGATTCCAATGCTATCCGCCATTTATCTATGTCTATAATGCTTGTGACTGAAGGCGATTAACACAGGATGAACAAATGCCAAAGGAGACTGATCACTTGTAGTCCTAAACATCAATGGGAATATTCGAATCAATACAAATGAAATTAGGGGTGCTACTGAATTTTGCATATAATGATGCTTAGTTAACACTGAGTAAAAATTGAAACGTTACAATAGAATTTTTGTAAACTTAAATGATTACCACTAAAAACGGATCGAAATTAAGTAATTTCAATCAGTCAGTCAATCAAACATAGCATAGAAGAACGTGGTATGTGTGTACATCATTTCAAGTTGACATATCCCATTACCACGGCGAGATGATATTATCCAGGGTAAATGCTCAAAGTAGTAGAGGTAGTAACAGTATTATTGGTAACAGAAAAGACTAGGCATCAAAGATACAGTTCGAGAAAGTAATATATATTTCTATATTAGTGAAGTAAGACTTTCTTTTTAAAAAATTTAAATTAAATAACTTCAATGTACATTACCTATAGTTCCTTTATTTCGTTTATTATAAACACGAATACACTTTGCCGGTTTAATCGATAGTACTTTTGAACCTAATGAAAGTAAATTGGACACATCTTTCATATCTTTAACTGGTTTTGATAGTTTTTGATCAGTGTTAGGAACTTTCTTGACTGGTTGATCTTTACCAGTGTTTATATGGGTTGCGGGAGCAATACTACTCCATGGACTATTGTCAACTACACGTAGACGTGTTTGCGGAGCTATAAAATACAGTGGTCCATGACCTTCGTTAGTTGATGTCCTGATGCATAACAACACATAAATAGATAGGATAAACGGGGCAGATTGAAAAAAAAAACACAATAATGCGTGATAAATGAATTATTGAGTAGTTTAGAATAGAAAAATTAAAATGTTGATATGCCTAAAATTTTGACTGATGTTTAACTTGAGGAATCTGCAATAACATTTGGACTAAGGTCAATATTCTTCGTGAAACTATTGTTGGGATAAGACATAAATGGAGAGGTACTTAAAGTGATTACAGTTGAGCAACTAGTGAAAACTAGGAAGCATTGAAGAGACGTTTAGTTGTAGTTAAGGCCATTTTGAGTAGTATATATCTACTACCCGATAGATGATGGGCTGAATATAAGACCTTTCGATCTTACTGTTAGCAGTAAGTTTGAATTCAATAGTTTACATTTCCAACTTCAACCAATTTGTGACAGAATGCAATCCTCAAAGATGATATATACTCATTTTCTATGTTGATCGACACATGTCAGGTATGAGTGTTATGGTATTCTTATATGATGTTTGGATTTGTGTATTAGGGTTATCTATTTATCTATTCTTTTAAACACATCAATATAGGTACAAAGGGATACCAAAATAAATGTGCACCACACAATAAGAAAATGAGATTGTGAAGAGATAGAGGATGTAAAGTGAGTATAATGGATAGAAATGAGTTAATGTGAGTAAAAAATAATGGGAGAGACAGTCCAGTTAAGAAAAATACAACCCAAAATGGTTCTTTTGATTTAACAGGTTTCTTTCACCTATATGAGTAAAGGAAAATAAAATTACGGTAGCATCACCATTGGTTTCTGTTATGAGCCAAGTCTGATAAGCCATTGGGTTGCATTACCTCTCGGACCCAAACTATAGATTCGTGATGAGCCTAAAGAAACCAGTATTAAACAACTTGCTTTTATACCTTGGTACTGTGTCATAAATTGGCTGTTTGTGTGAAGGTTAGTGGTACTACTTAGCTGCTCGAAAAGTGGTAGTTAGAACTAGAATCAAACTTATAACTTACCGATTGATGGTGTTTTTTTATCATTAGGTCACAGTTTCATAAGTTCAACAACTTTTATATGATATGAACAACTTCTTGATACTATATTTTGATGCCCAGATTGTATTGTTTATTATTAGGAATGACTCAATTTTTGCAAGATATATGCAATTAATATTTATAAAGTTTATCACCAAACTATGAAAAAGTTATAAACTGTGAAAGTGAAATGCAAATTAACACTACTACTTGATAGTCGATCTATTGATCTAATGAAGAATTCAGTGTCAGTCAGTCAGTCAGTAACAACGTAGAACTTCGTATGTACGTACATCAGTTCGAGTTGCCACACCACCTTAACACAGAGATGCAGTTGTCGATCCAAATCCCGTAGTGGTAGAGGTAGCAAGAGTGTAAGCAGTGATCGGGAAGATTAGGGTTTGGAGATGTTATTTAAAGAGTATAATTCAGTGAAATAAATTTGGAAAGAGGGAAAAAGGGACATGAAGAATTCAGAAGATTAGAATTTGGGAGAACACAAAGAGTGGATGCGCCTGCGCCATTGCAAACGATTTTGAGCCATGTCATTCAGGGTCTCTAACCATCGGTTGCTATCATCTCGCGGTCCCCAGCCAGGTAGTCTACACCTATCAACATGACTCAGACCACTTGTCAGTGACTTAATGGACTTGTGCCATGTTTTGGTCTGGCCGCCCCTAGCTTTCAGTGTATAACACAGATAATGATTTAGTTACGTGGACTATAAAAATGATGCAATAAAAGTACCAAGATAGCAATCATACTATCATTTAATTTACCTATGTATTGATACATAATTAAGACTATACATTGTAGACATTCAAACTAGTCGTTTTTATGGGGTAACAGACGAACGCCATTATTACAAAGTTTCCCTTATGTCATCTGATTAGTTACGTAAGTTGATTGGGTCCTTTTTGAAGAGATGTGTGGTATTTTGTGCATATGTCTAGTTAAAGTGATGATATATTGAATTATGATCTTTAATCGTTTGAATAATCACAAGAATCAGTGATTGGTTAACTTTACCATTTTAGGACCCAGCGATAGTGGATACGTCAAATCCTTTGTATAAATATTCCTTAGAGTGACTACTTCATGTAGACCCCCTCCCAAAAATTCGAAAAGAATTCATGCGTACAAAACAAGGGAATAAATATAACTTGATGATCCGATAAATTCAATACTGAAAACTGATTTTAATGAAATTGGAGAATTTTATAAACCACTCCTTTAATGCTCCATATTAGATGAAGAATATATGACAGATTGTAATGGATAGCATTAAAAAACCAAATCAAAGAATATCCCATTCATATTCTTACCATAAATTTCTTGCCCGTTGATATAAATTTCCTTCTTTGGAAAGGAGACTGTTATGTAATACACGTAACTAAGATAATATTTAACAAGGTAAAATAGAAAGAAAAAACGATGTAAATCAATCAAAAGTCTGAAAAATCCAACCACTATTTAGATAAACAGGATAAAATAATGAGTAGGATATGTTGAGAAGCAGTTTAACTAAACTTTGGCTATGGTTCTTTTTCCATCGATTCACCCAGTCACAAACTGGATGCAATAGTGGTATCGATGATCCTTAAACGACCCAAGGTTATTATAAGTACTGATACACAAATTTATTGAGGCCTTTGAAAGTATGTAGAAAGTTGTACTTTAGGTCATACAATCAGTAGTTTGTTAAAATAACTACACTTGTAGACATGATCAATGATATACTGATAAAAATACTTCATTTGTGTACCTTATTGCTCTAAATACCTTAGGGTAAGTAGACAATATATCCCTGAAGAACCATCAATTTAGCAGATTTGATGGGTTGATAGAAAAAAACTTGAAACGAAGCTTAAATGGTAATCGTCAATCTGTTAAAGTATAAGAGATGGTTTATTGGGCAACGGTAAGTTGTATTATGTTACATGGCCAGTGAACATTTACTACTGAAAACGGTAACAAAGGTAGTAGAACCACTAAGTAAAAAATGCTAACAATAGAAGTTTGATTTGCCAAGGAGATAAAGTAAACTAGTTAACGAAAGTAGATCGACAAAGATTAAAAGAGATGTTAATCAATCGGACATCATAAACGTAGAGCCTGATCATAGTTCTCACACCACATTAGCACGATGCATAGCGAAAGAGACTCAAATAATATAATAGCAATGACGATTAAGTAGATTAAAGGTGAAGTTTGTGGTTCGAAAAGACAGAAAAAAGGTGTATATGAAGGAATACGGTAATTCAAGATCGAGAGGATGATTGAATGTATCTGTGCTATTGTGGACGATCTACAGCCATGTCATCCGAGGTCTATAGCCACTGAGCGTGACAAACGCACGGACTCTAATCAGATAGTTTGTATCTACTAACATGGCTCAAACCAACAGACAGTAATTCCGTGAGCTGAAGTACTGTTTCAGGTTGGTCCCTCCAGCCTTCTCCTAAACTACTTCTACACCAGAAATAATCGTGCATTGAGATAGGCAGTGGTTAGGTATACACATTACACGCCTTTACCGACTCAGTCAATAAAAATTCATGGCATCATCAACCCGTTTGTTTTTTCCTGTGCCTGACACCAAAATTGTTGGCTCAGTTGCTGCATGAAATTAGAGAAATAGTTTGAAGACATCTATGATAAAAAACTTATAGCTTAGGCATATCTTTTAACTATCATATTGCTCAGCAAAAAATACTATGGTCTCCACAAATCACCGATACTGATAACGATCACGTGCTCACTGGTGATTAGCTTCAGGATGTAATTCCTGGAATTCTAGTGAGAAGCCATGACCAGTGGAGTCCAATCCATGTAGAGTGAGACAGATATCCACTGAAGACGATGGATAAAAAGTTTGCAAGATGGTGGATCGATTGAATTCGGACATCGAGAGCGCTGGATACTGGATCACTGGTCCAGAGGTTAAGTGTCCACATGGGAAACTGAAAGTCCTGTGCGGGATCATGGATGCACACTGCTATGGAGCATCATACTGAGACTGAACGGACGTCCGGTACTTCCAGATTTCCAATAGTGAAGTAACTTAGATTGATTCGTGATTTCAACTGTGAATATAAATTAATTCCTATCATGAGAAAACCAATCGATCAAGCACATTACAAACATAAGCGAGTACACAAAAGTACTATCTTTCATTTTTATTAATTCATTTATTCTATATACACATATTTCAAGCTTTACAGTTATTCCCTGAGTTTGAAATATGTTATCATCATTATTGATTTTTTTGTTTCAATTTAAAATAAATGAACGTGATCGTTTTCGACGAATCAACAGCGCTTTATAATCTTCTTCCATTTGATAACGTTTGGTGACCTTTGGTCGATCAATATTAATTTCTGGTAATTGAATGGTGAATTCCTCTGTATGTGGTATAGATTGATTTGCTTTTAATATTTCTTGTATATCCAACGGTAAGGAGGCAATATCATTTGACGATATAACAGCATCTTGATGTGTAAGTTGGCTGTTGTTGATTTTAAGTAATTCATTTAATTGATCCTCTGGTAAATAATCATAATAATCATGGTAATTATATAGGTAGAAAGGTAACCATGTTTGAATTAAACCTGAAAAGATTAAATACAAACAAATAGCTCACTAGTTGAATTTTTTTTAAAAGAAAGGAAGATTATCTTTATTATGTAACAGTATCAATTGATAATGTATATTTATTTCATCTATCAACCAACAAAATCTTCTTTCATGCAAAAGATAAAACGGAAGATGCTTTTAAACTATAACTAAGTTAAAATCCAATGATATACACGTTTAAATATATTCAATTTGTGATATAACACTATCTATATTGAACGTCATTACTTAAGCCTCACTGTGCTTCTGTTCTTTAACTTCACTGACTACACACAAGTTATGAATTTTTAATAGAACTGGGAGAACTATACTACAAAGTTAGTCATCAGTGAGTAAATGTAATATTATTTACTTAGTTAATTTCATGGTGATTTTTCGTAATTGTTATCACGGACTTATATTAGCTTGGGAAATATTATAAACTATGCAGCACTGAACGATTGCTAGTCTAAATCGAAACTCTGAGGAATGTGAACACAGGACTATATATATATATATATATATATATATATATATATATATATATATATATATATATATATATATATATATATATATATATATATATATATATATATAAGTCGAAATCAGGTTTTGAAAACGGATTGTTGAACAGTACCTAATTAAATTGAAAGTTATTCAGTCCCTTCCAGTTTTTAATGGCTTCCTAGTTGATATCAGTCCATGAAGACAATTATATTTCGTCAAACATGTTTCGAACATTTCCATACTATTTTGAGAAATGACACAAATACCAATGGTCTTATAAGTGATATGTGAATGGTAAGTAAACACATATAGTCTCTCATACCGCCTTATCCTTTCGCCTCCAATCCATTCACAAATAATTCGAAAAAAACACTTACCTAAATCACGCGCTTTTTCAACTTCATGTTGTAAAATTTTATACTGATGTCTGCATATACCTATAAATATAGTCAATTGTAGAATAAATTAGTTTAATTTATGCAAATAAAAAACAGATTAACAATAAGTATCCAAAATTATCGATTATTTTTATCCATTATAAATGGTCATTATTTACTTTGTTAAGTCATTAACATAATCAGAGGAGCGATTCATGTACTCAGTCGACTTTCAGATATGGTTCTCCCAATGAGAGCCGCCAGTGTTGTTATATTACCCAGTGATTCATCAAACTGAAGTAGACAGAAAGGGAATCAGAGAGCATTTAGCTCACTCATTGTTTGAGATTCAAGTACGTTAACCATTAAAAGTTATTATCCATACAATATGGATAACTTAAACAATCTATCTAGTCACGAAGCGAAACACATATTTCGCGTTATAAAATCAAGGACGATGAAGAGCTGCAAAAAAAGTTGTCAAAATAATGTAGTAGTCGTGATAATGAGTAACACTAAGCATCCAGAGTATGGTTCGAAAAGACAGAGATGAAAGAATATTTACGAATAGATATTGGATCTCAATATCTTTAGGGAGATAAAAAGTGAATGTAACTCTACTGTGATCGATTCTAAGGTATTTAGCCCTATGTTTCTGACCACTTGATTACGTTAACTGCGCAGACTCTAACTAGTTAATTTACATATATCAAAATGGCTCAGGTCAACATTCACTGGCTTCATGGACTGATATCAAGTTTTAGTTTCGACGCTCATAGCTTTTGTATACAAACAACAGTTTTTAAAGTCTAAAATATTTAGCCAACCGTTCAGTGGTTCTATTGCCATATAACGACTCAGATAACGTACGGGTATCGGTCACGTTCGGCAATTTTAATTTCAGAGTCAAAGAAACAATACTAATGATATCAATGGTTAGTGGAAAGCTGAACATAGGAAATAGATAAAAATCGGTAATGGAAGGAAATATAAAATAGTATTAAAGCTGAGTAAAGATAGAGGATCAATTCATCCATACCAATGACTGAACATTTATAAAAAAAAAGTTCAAATTATGCCATTACTTAATGTTTTTTAACTATAGATTCTGATTAGTTAACAGGTTACAGTCTTAACAAATAGGAAATAACAAGAATTTCCTAAAATTAGTAGAAAGATAAAAATTGGATAAATGTAAGCTAGTAAGTTGAGTTTTTATAAAACATAATTTTGATTAGTTTGTTAAACTACAAAATCCAAAAGTACAACGTGTTTTTAGATGGTGTAATTCAATTTTCTGAAATGATTGTATGCGTTAGTTGTGATACTGCATAGTATGAATATTCTTTAAATTTCTCTAGTCTTGTGTACTTTTATAAGTAGATATACTTTAGATTAATGAACCTAGAGGTCAAACTCCACAATGTTTAATGACGTTTGAAGGTACTGGATAGTATCGAAAGTCTTTGTGTACAACATATGCTTTGTTGTCTGTTATTAATACATAATGCTGCCTACGATTACTGAGCTGAATTTATTTACTTGGAAATAACAAAGTTAGTTAACGTTATCGTTTCTTTTCCCATAAAAAAGTTATACCATAATTTGAACGAGCTATTATTGACAATCTCATAAGACTATGAGATTCACATTGAAAGACTTTTAGTTTTTAAAAAGAAAAATTGTTCGTTTAAATGAGTTAGATATCCATAAAATTACTGCCTTAAATCAACTATGAACAAAAATAGATTATCTATAAATTATTCTACATGATCATTGTATAAATTTGATTGAACTTCATTCCATAAAACGTATCCAATTTCGCAACAACTCATAAGTTTGAGCGTGTTTGTGCATTTTAGACAACTATGGTACCTATTTATTATGTAAAGCACCAGATAGTTGGTTAAACATTGGTAAGCAAAGTAATTTTCTAACCAATGATTTAATTGGTAAAATTCAAATATCTAAGCTAAATGAGCCACAACCTTACAAATGAATATATATGTAACTAAGTTTTGTTTATTATTATTTGTAAAGATTTGTATCTTTTTATTGTTTGTAATCAGGACACGAACAACAGACGGTAACTCACATATCACGAACCTGTTTATGTACTCTACTTTGAGATACACCAGTCATGTAAAGGGTAGTAATATTCTGGTGTGTGCTACTGACGTTGATAGATATAAGTAGTATGTATCACCAATCGAAAGTGAAATAACTGGCAGCAGAAGATCGAAGAAAAAAGAACGACAACATAGAATGATTGCTGTGGAAATGAAGGAACAGTGAAATCTGAGACGATTGATTGGCATTTTGCAAATTAAGTATTTACTGTATGGTTCTCAGATTTTACTGATGTAATTTTGTTTTCGAATACATTCGATTGTCCCCATTTGTGTTCTCGTTCACTACAGTTCTATCCGCCTGCTCAAACCGATATAGGTAGAACGTCGTTCGAACGTATAACCTACTGATTAAAAGCCAAGTGTTCCATCCACTAAGGTACCAGGTTCTTATCTAGGGCTGTGTTTAATCGGTTCTTCAAGATGACCCCTTCGACACTACATGCAGTTACAAGCTAATTATATTTTTTAGACAGAGGATCGCAGTGGAACTCAGGAAGTGAGTCTCGTCCTACCTGCAACTCATCAACTGGACATGTCTCAGTCTCTGAGTTCATGTTCATAATTAGTAGGAGACGTAGTAAAAACTAGATTCGAGTCTCACTGGGAAAATTAATTCTGGGATGTAGATACATCCAGCTGACTAATCCCGAGTACAGTGAGACGGGTGTCCCGAGTCCCGCTACCAGTCACTATTTGAAACAAAATATGGAAGTACATTATACGTTGTAGAAAATAGAAAAAAGAAATAATCGATTGCTTATTGAATAGGTGAAAGGCTAGTAAACAATATTATACATACGTTCGTATAGAAACGCTTACCAGTTTTAGACAATGGAAAGATTTCTAAAGTATCCGGATTGATAAACTGCTTTAACAGTTCAATGTGCTAAATTAGGAAAAAAGTGATAGGCGAGATTAAATAATAAACGTATGACATTCAGAATAACAATATTTAAAGATGAAGTCAGTTTTTGAAATAAAAGGATAAATTAAGGTTGGAATCCATTCAGAGACAATTTACACTTCGCATTCTTGGGACTGATCGTACCTTAAATTATAAGTTTAGATGTAAGAAACTTGGACTCGACCTTTTATGGAAGAGGAGACTTATACTAATTCTGATCTTTTTCTTCAAAATAGTTAATAAACTATCTTTTACATCCAATGAAGTAGTTCAACATGTAAAAACTCTTAGTTACAGCATTCGTAACTCTTTGTTGCTAGTGGAACGACGACATTCTAAATCTTCTCTTTATATGAATTACTTTACTAGTACATTTTCCAGACTCTGAAATAATCTACCACAATATATCCGCAAGATAAAATCACTCCCATCTTTTGTTCACTGCATCGATGCTTACTGTTCCTCTGAAAATGCATTAACTGTTCTAGCATCTGTAAGTGTATCTTATTCCACAAGTGATATTATAAGAACTTTAAAGATTTAGTCGTTCTTATTACTGAATCTATTAAGTAAAACTCTCTACCAGCCGTTACTTTACACTAACATCGTCCCTGGCAACCTTAACTAATTTGGATAATATCTAACACGAACCGTTCATCATAAAATAACCTGAATATATATGCTAGATCTGACTAACCTATCGTGGTAATTATTGCCTTTTTGTTCCGTGCTCTCTGCTTCCGTTTTATTTTCTCTAGTTGTAGATGTTTATAATCAATTCGTTATGGCGCAGGAAACGACCTTAAATGCACCGTTCATGCATCAACGGTATGTCCACTTAAGAAGAATTAAAAGTTCCAGGCTGTTATATTTCATTGCTGTAATACATGTCGTAAATGTACTACCTAAACAATTTTTGAACTAGCAAACTTAAAACAATCTTATGTTACATATTTGTTATCTACATTTAATGTTACTATTTATATCAAACTGATCATGCCTGTAAACTGGCGTGAATTATGTGATTATTATATCCAGAATATATATTATTATTGTTATTAGAAGTTTTGTAATACTTTATGCGATAAACAAAATGACAAACTTATTTAGTTATTTGGAAAATTGTTTCATTTCAAAATAAAAATAGAGACCAAATATATACGTATTAACTGGATGTTGCGTTACATTTGTTATATGAAGGCTGGAGATACTACTTAATTGTTGTAAGTAGTGGATTGGGACGTAAACACTTGTAACTGAAAGTGGAGCTCATGAATGTTCGTTTTACAACCCCTCTAATATAAGTATTATTATTCGGGTATAATTTTAAATAATTAGACAAGATGTACAAATTCAAGATGAATGGGATATTGTGGCTAAATTATTTATCGCTGCACTGAAATTTCACCAACTATAGTTTCTTGGTTTAATACAGTCGATAATCAGTAATCCAAATTTTATATTGGATTACATATCTCCCTTGAAGTGTGTAAACTTCCAAACGCAACAGATAGAACATTATGATGAAACACGTCTGTGTTTGATTTCAAATAGGATAGCGAGATTATTGAATACAAAAAGATCTAGGATATATTAGAGATGATCCATACAGATGCTATTATCAATTTTTAGCCACACCACCTGAAGTTTTCAATCGTTGATTATATTTTTCTTCCGGATCCCAACCACGAAGCCAGTGTACTCCTACTCCCAGACAACTTAAACTCAAACTTCAGTAACTATATGGACTGACATTAGACCATGATTTGGTTTGACCATCTATAATCAGCTTTCCAAGTCACACTTACGCTAGCTTTCATAACAGTCAAATAGGGAATGATTGGACATATGAAGCACATGACCCAGCCCTTTTGGCTGATAAAAATTTCCATCTGCATTAACTCATTCGTCAGTTTTATCAATTACTTTAGGGGTGATGTTCGGATTGTTAACTCCAATGTTTTATCATAAGTAGAAAATGCTTTGGAAACACTTATGATCGAATACTTGGTATAGATATAAGTGAAAGCTATTGACCCAAAAACGATTTCAGATAGAAGCAGGGAATAATTAAATTTAAATTAAGAGAACGCATATATTTGAGAACATTTATTAATCCCAAGTAGAACAACCATATGTTAATATGCTAATTATTCAATGGGTATGTTTGGTAACGGTTCATTCTGTTATTCTACGAATAAAAGGTATGTTTGCGAAAGACAGATAGCTACAATAAATGTTGGGTAATCAATTGTACGTACCCTTTAGGAGCTGTTAATGAGAAATGTAGAGACTAAACGTAGAGCTCTGGAGAAGAAAGATGACTTAGTCGACAGTTATAAACTTTCAATAATGTAGATAGTTTGGGATATGCATATTACGCAAGCTAAGGCAGCGTCTACATCTACACAATATACTGAAGATTGTGGAAAATCGTAAGGTGAGCAGTCTACCTGAAACCATTCAAATGTTGGGAATCCCTAGCTGAAGGACACACTTGATATCTTTTGAAATGAACGTATATTTGGAATAAATATCCACATTTATTTGAAACTTTATAGTTTTCAAGGTAAACAAAGTGATTCTAAATGACAGTAGTATATCAAGTAAAATAAAGAAACATCATGTCACGAGTTGATGTTTGTACTTTCAATGAAGTTTAAGAAACAGACTAACTTACTCGATGACTTAATACTAAATATTCATCACGACAAATGGGGCATGGATTTGAGCTTACGAATTTTCCTAAATGCTGAGAGCAATCAGAAAAAAATTAGAAGTCAAATTATAAGGAAATGAGAAATAAAAAGTTTCGAATGAGTAGAACTGAAGCAATGTTTATCATGAGATTTGAAAAGTCAGGGTTTGATTACTGAATATATGGCCGTTGATATGCATTGAGGCAAAAAATACCAAATGCGAAGTATATGTACCTAGTAATTCTTACAGTGATTGCCACAAATAATTTATAAAATCTCTAAATTAATTCATTACTTAATTTACATACTACTTAAATGAATGATGATCTAATGTCCAGCAGCAACTCGCTAAGTCGTGAATATTTTTAGAGTTTAATGAGTAGAAATTAGTAAGGCCAATTCGGAAGACAGTGCAGAAGTTTATTAACCCGTGAGATTGTGGAATGGCCTTATTTTGTCAACGATTAAATGAAGTTGAGAACTAACAACCGTTGTATTATGGCTTAACACCACGTAGTCAAGAGGCTTTGAAAACGATTTCGTGAGTGGTCAGAATCACATACTCATTTCTTAATACATAGTCTTTTGACTTATTGGCACTAAAGACATCTGTCATAGATTATAAGTTGCGTAATTCATGCATCTAATTTAGTTTGATTCATGAAAATATCGGCGCATGTGTACAATACATTTGAGTTTAATCTGAAAACAGCTCTGATGGATGTAAGTAATGGCGGTGCGGATCTGTTGCCTGGAGAAAGACTTCTCAACCTTGAGTATGCGGATGATATCGTCCTACTGTGCGACAATGCCCAAGGCATGCAATCCGCACTTAATCAGTTGGCAATCAGTGTCCGTAGGTGCGGTGTGTGCTTTGCACCTTCGAAGTGCAAAGTACTTCTATAAAACTGGCAGGATCCTAATCATGTACTCACCCTGGATGGTAAGCATATAAAAGCAGTCGAGAAGTTCGTGTATTTAGGTAGCTGCATAAGTGCTGGTGGAGGTGTGAGTGATGAGATCAATACACGTATAGTGAAAGCCAGAGCGGCTTATGCCAATCTAGGCCATCTTTGGCGCCTTCGTGATGTAAGTCTGGCTGTAAAAGGTCGAATCTACAACGCGTCGGTGAGAGAAGTTCTGCTCTATCCTTGTGAAACCTGGCCTCTCCGAGTTGAGGACGTTAGACGACTCTCAGTGTTCGATCATCGTTGTCTCCGGAGGATTGCTGACATCCAGTGGCAACACCATGTTAATAATGCAGAGGTTCGGCATCCTATGTTCGGACACAGAGATGATAGTGCAATTGGTGTCACCATCTTGAAACACCGACTTCGGTGGCTTGGACATGTTCTACGAATGTCGTCCCAGAGAATTCCACGTCGTGCATTATTTGCCGACACTGGGACTGGTTGGAAAAAGCGGAGAGGTGGTCAGTAAATGACATGGTGTCGTGGTATGAAAGAAAGCTGTCAAGGGTTGGCTTTTGTTGGTTGTTCACGACTCCCTGGTTGGGGTCCGAGAGATGGTGCTACACAGTGGTTGGAGATGCTATCAGATATGGCTCAGAATAGAAGCCAGTGACGATCCTGCTGTAATGTGCTTTTACTTTCTTCATAAAAAGTGGTTGTATCTTCCTTAACTGAAAGATTTATTCTGATTGTACCTTTCCGTCTCCCCCATTATTATTATTACTATTGTTATTATTATTATTGCACTATCTTAAACTAATCTGATCGTTATGGTTCTTTTTTTACGCTCCTTATCTTCCTTAACTTTTCTCTTCCCATTCTCATTGTTTTGTGTGGCGCATATATATTTGCTGCCCCCTTGTATTAATCTTTGTGTTCAAATAAATAAATAAATAATAAATATTAGTTCAAACAGCTTTGTAATTGTTGCTTGGATGTTGTTTCAATGGAAACTATCATATAATATAGATGTTATTATAATCGCTTGTCTGGTATATATTAGTTGTGTCAGATCCATTATTTAAACACAAACATTGGTACAAGGAGGCACCAAATACACATACGTTACACGGATCCATGTTAATATTATCATCTATATTACATATGATAATAAACACAATGACAGTAACAACAGAAATTATGCACCTAGAAATATCCTGCTATAACAGAGTTTAGAGATATCATCATGAAATCCAGTAAATAAGCGATCGTCGACAAGAAGGAAGATGAAGGAACATATAAAAAGTAAAGCAAGTATTTAAACATACAACACAATTTTTTCTTGTTAGACTCGAAGGGAAGTGTCCCTTATAGTTGCGTCTGTAGTAAAACCATACAGGTTTTCCTTTATAGGTATTTCTAAATACTAAAAAGAATGTTGAACGAAGCGAAATCGTTTACATACCATCAGAATTAAAATATTCTATACTTGTCGCTAAATCAGCTTGTTTATATAGCTTGCCTTTGTAATTTTTACGGATATTTGTATGAGGGCTTTCATTTATGGGCTTCTGTTCATTAAGGCTTGATACCGAATTTGTGCAGAAGTGATGAAATAGCGGGGTTAGATGAATACCAAAAACATGTTTTCGGCCAACAATCATTTCATTTAGAGTGATTCTTACAAACTTGGAGATTAAGGGGGCCTGAAACATAAATAAATGGGCATTTTTCTTGAAATATGACTTTTGGTTATTTGGGATGTCTGAAGAACTTTTTAGTAATATTCGTTTACCCCCTACCCTGGTATATAATGCTTGCTAGCATTAAAACAGATTGAAATGGGCCCTGTGTAGCAATACAAAGGTATAGACAGACTAAAACGTCAGTTAGTAATAGACAGAGCTGTATTGTGAGGTATAAACGTTTGGTAGGTGTTACAGAGATGAATAATCTACAATTGGAAACCTTGTATTTAATGGCTTGAGGTTGATTGCATGAGATTAATCCACTGTTCAAATTCTCCTAAGTTTTAAATTTCACATTGTCTTGCACTTATCTTCATTCAGTCATTTCATAGATTCTCTGCAAATTATATTTTTTGTCTAGTTTTCCATTACCAGTAATATTATTACCTCAGTTTCTCTGCTTTTCATTTTACTTAGTCCCTACTGTGCTTAAGTCACGTGGAAACTTGGGTTGATCCATATCCATAATTAATTAAACCAGTGTTTACAAAACAGGAGAAGCAATTATCTACCTTTGACAAAATACTCATTGCTCTTGGTAGCTCTTAATACAATTAACGCGCCTGTACTGCACATTGCTCAGTTTCAGTTTATCCAACTTTGTTTCGAAATAGCCAACAGATGGAGCTTAAATCACTTGTTGAGGAAATGAATTCCACTTGTTCATAGTTCGATTGGAAGGTCGATAGTCGTCTGATAAGTAATTTGCTCTGTGCTGAAGTGTCTTCGTAAACTCACTGTTGCGGAAAACAGAAAAACGGAGGCATATCAGATGCAAACTTATCACAGGGTGTATGAAAACAGTAATGAAGTTACCTCTAGTTCTTTGATATGACAATCGCGACAGGTTAAGCTTAGCCAGTCGGGCATCATACGTGAGCTTCGCTGAGAATCAGCTTAGTTTCTGTCCTCTGAACCTTGTCCGAAAGCTTACTGTCTTTTTTAAGTAGGGGCTAGCCGCTTGTATGCAGCACTCAAGTTTGGGACGCACAACTACTGTATACGAAGTCACAAACGTTTTAGCGTCAACATGACTTGGGGTCTTACGTTTTTACTATAAGGCACGTTGGATACAGTGACCATTTTCCAGATTTTTTAGTACGTTGAGATTGGGGTCAGTTTTGATTGGCAGTTGGGTCACTGTCCGGATTTCTGAGTTTTTTTGTGGACTGTTTAGATGATCTTAGGAGTATACTGAACGGCCGATTCATTATCTGATTTTCCTACAAGACCTAGGCTGTTCACTGTTCTTGAAAGTGACTTTCGACCTCGTTTATCCCTATTGATTAGAGTCCAGTCTCCTACCGTAGACGTTTCGAAGCCTACAGCTACATTTGTAGAGTCTTTGCTAGAAGACATAAGTTTAAAAAAAGATTCTAATACCGTCGATGTTATGGTGGCCCTGAGTCTCAACATATCCTCACTAGTTTTGGTGCTTTTTCAATCATTACTTATCTTGTCTAACAAATTTCGCTTTACCTCGTCGCGCGTCTTGGTTTATTTATTCACTCAATAACAGTCATTTTCAGGATTACTGACAATTTTTGTCAAAACTACCAGGAGAAACTTCATATCACTCAGCAAATCCTCAGCTTTCATGTTGTATGTGCGACATGTTCATATGCGATTTGACTCAATGAGTCTGTTGTAAGCAGTATCTGTAAGGTTTGTGTATGCTTCGTGAAATCCACCTTTTCATCTGTCTCACTGCATACCACAGGTGACGACAAAATGGCGTCCAGGTGGCTTACATATTTTCATAGTGATCATGGTGAAATATAAGTTGTTTAACACATTCTAGCAAATATTTATGACTGTTAAAAAGAATGGTATATCCAAGATGGGTGAAACGTATAAAAACGGGCAATGTAAAAAAATTTAAGATATGCTGAAACTATCCTTCTGACATGAAAAACACTAAAACTTGGAACAGTTGGCTGGAGCAAAGCCATGGGTAACTATTAACTCGAATAAAACTCCAAGAGAAAGGTAGTTTACTGAATGTTGAGCTTGAGACAGATTCTTTGGATCAAAATAGCATCTTTGTGAGTGAAGACACAAGTTTTAGAAATGCGAATCACTTCAGGATAATACTTCCTACCAATTGTTATATCCTAATAAATATTAAATTACAGGCAACTTCTAAGGACTAATATTATATATATTCTTACTTATAACCATTCAGTAACTTAATTATGTATATCCATATTCTTATTATGCTCTTCATTTTTATCTAAAGATTATTATTGTACTCTGTACTGTACTGAGAATGTATAAGTCTCATTTCAATTGGCAAATAAATCACATGATAATTAGCCGGCCTTAAAGTCCCAACATCAGTACTATACAAAACCCAATATACTCATTATGAGCTGTTATAAAATTGAGGATTTCTTTGTGCCCATTTGTTGTTATTTCAATAAGGTTCTAAGTTTCTAGCAGAGGTCAGTAGGGTGGGTTTAGCCTAGTTACCCGACTAAACTATTCTTACTAAGTTTGTTAATTATCTATTTGTATGCCTTCAAATCGGAGTAATCCTATTTGTCTCAGGGTAGTAGGGTTTCTGGAACCAGTAGCTATCAGCTAACAGGTTGGATATTGGTTGACTGCAATGCAAAAAATAACAAATGAGTAAGGTTGAATGCGGAACAATTGAGATAGGACGATGGTCAGGAGAAGCGAATAAGTAATACGAATAATTATCCATGTAAATAGTATGAGGGGTCAAAAGTGTGATAATAAGAGATATACATCAGTGACGGCAAGTAAAGTGCTTAGGAATAGTCTAATGGTATAAAGCGATAGTAATAAAGTCAATGCTAAACAAGTTGCGAGACATGTACCAGGTATAAATAATCCAAAGAAGAGAGCGAAATATATGATTGAGCACGTGGTCGTTAAAACTTCTCTTGAACTTATTCATTGAGAAGGCTGTGACCACTTTCAGTGGAAAAGGATCTCAGGTGATATTGACTCTTAGTTTGAAAAAGTAGAGCCCTGGCTGAGTTTTCGCTATTTGTGTGGAATTTTCGGAGGGTTATCTATCGGTTATCGGTTTGCACTGGTATTTCGTTCACTTCCGGCCCTTCGACACTCCTGTTGTCTACTTTGTGTCGCCCCAGTATGGTTTGAAGTAAAAGAGAGGATATAACAGGTCGAAAGTCATTTTTGGCATCCCACGCGTCTTAATTAAGTTACGTGCTTTGCGCTAAATGTGGTTTAAACTGTTATGCCGCACTGCATATGGCAAACCTAGCAGCTCCGTAACTTCATGTGTAGTAGCCTTCTAAACAGAGGCTTGTTCTCCGTACATAATTGTCCGGTTTTGATCTCACTAAGGCTATGTAAACGATGGTGAATATATTCGACTCTAACTAAGTGGAAGGTCGTTTTAACGCCACTACTATTCATAACCTTTCAGACACAACGTTACCGCGGTAGCCGTATTCTTAGGATCGAGACTATCTATGACTGTGCAGATCACTGTGAGACATGACCATAGATACTAACTCTAACCGTACATTACGTAAACTGGTATTTTCACAATCACTATGTGCACAGACAAAGCTGAACATGCTGTTTCGGATCGAAAACAACTAAAATCAGCTTATCGGTATGTCCAGATCTTTCCAAAGTGCAGATGGATTAAGATACTTTGCTTATTCTGTAGAAGTTCGACTTCAGCGTAAAGTAGCACTGGAGACCTCATGCTTAGAGGAGTATCAATAACAATTACTAATTATTTTCTACAAGTTTGTTGGATAATATTTTTACGGACATGAAAATGACATATGTCAACGATTTACAGGCAGCGCGCTACTTTAGTAGACTTATTAAGAGGCGGCACTAATAGATCTGAAAATTCTTATGTTGGAATGTTTATGGAGGTATATCAGCCAGATTTTTGTGTCATGTTATCAGTTAATAGGTTCATAGTTGCTGTCAAGCGGCGAGTAGGCGTGGTGTTTGATACTATTATACATGAACACGATTTATCTTAGTCTTTGAAGAGATTTCAATAAATCAAACAGCATGCTACTTAAAGTCATATTTTCTTTCTCAATAACTCTATTCTTTTCATAGAAAATTGTGAGTTTGAGCACACGAGCATCTTTTTTCACTTGTAGTTCTATGCTCATGCGCCTTGTATTTGTTTTTCATTAACTATTTTATCCAATCTCAGTCTCTTTACCACACTACACCCTATCTAATTTGTTTTATATTGACGCTTGTAATGAGTAGTATGGCAAGGTGTCATGGTTCTTTTGCCGGTTTTCTCTGCTTCGTTCCTCTGATTATCTGTCACTGGTAATAAGCTCATGATTTGATTAATTTTAGTCTGTAATCTTCTAACGCGTATTATGGTCGACAATCAGCTACAAGGGTAAGTGGCATCTGTACTCCGTTAACATCATCGCTCGATGAAATCGAAGTCAACAGGCTATAAAGGTGTTTGGACAAGCCATGACCTTGATATACGCGTATGCCAGGTATATGGTTCAGACGTAGGAAGAACCTTCAAATCCATGAGTCAAGTTGGAGGGCGAAGCTCATGCTAGTCGCCACTGTTAGGATGACCTGTAGTTGAGGTTTCTTGAAAAAGGAGTACCGTAATATATAACAATTAGTCATGACGTGCAACAAGGTGGAATGGATCTGAGTAATGAATGGAGAGTTGGAGTAGGAAATGGAAAGGTCGTTTGTTATATTTAAGGGTAAAATAAAGTGCTTACAGACGCGCATGGCTATCAGTTATCGTTTTTGATTCTATCTACTGTCCTCTAATTTCATCAAATGCCAGTCATCTAGTCATAGCATGAGAGCCTGGGGTAGCAGTAGCAAACACAAAAAAAGTCTCAACATCATCGACCGGTTGCTTCGCCCACAATTATAAGGAGCATGAAAAGAAAGGGAAATAATATCACTCAAATTTGGGTGGATTGTTTTCATTCCCATCACCACCAATGGCTGTTTGTAACCAACTTCTCCCTGCCTTCTTTTGTGGTCCTAGGTTCATTCAGTATGATTATTAGGTTAAATATTTTGAAGTACACGAATTTATGTCTCAGACCTCGTTGTAAAACACCGCTAACACAAATGTCATGTTACAGGCATATGCTGTATTGCATATTACAACAGTATAAAGTATGGTTATTCGTAAAAGTATAGGCATTTAGACAGGAATGAAAATAGTGTATTAAGTACATAAAAACTGTACGAATATAGTAGTTATAAACAAGGGAAGTAAGGAGGTTAAGTTATTGGTAGGTCAACTAAATGGAAACCAAAGAAGTAATCCAGTGGGAAATGGTCGCGACGGAACTCACTTTATTTAATGTTTGTACCGTCCGGCCGGGTGATAGTTCGAAGCCCGGGAAATGCGGAACCGCTGGTAGTTGAGCAGAAGAATGTGAATTCCACGCACCCTGTCATTAGGATAGTAGTGTGCGTTTCTTGTGGCCGAGTGTCGTTGAGCAGTAATTTGTCTATCCACTTGCAGTAATAATTAAAAGGGAATATAGGGCTTTGCAGAG